GACTATACTTTGTCCTCCGTTACGGTTTTGGAGATGAAAATATACTTTGTATACATAATATGTTTTAGTTTTTCTCACATATATGATCATATTTTTAAAACTTATCATGTTTCAATCAAATACATAGTATTCATCAACTTTAACTTATATATTAGTGACCGCTAATTACAATTAAAAATCATTCACACATAGCACTATTAATACTCATACTAGTGATTACAGTAACTAGTAATACAAAGTATATAAGTGGACGTTTGCATTAAAAATCAACAACAGTTGAGTGCATGGCGTCTTTAAACAACATTTAATCAAATTCAATAAATCCAAAACATGACAACTTTTTATTTTTACTAAATAGTGAGTAATACTACTATGTAATATTTTTGATATTCCGCCATTAATTTGCTACCGGTTTTATATAATTACACCACCTCGGTTAAAATAAGTATTTTATATATTTTTAAATTAGGTTTGGTTTCACCTAAATTATGCCCAAAATTGCTATTTTTACATATTTTGAACGCATTTCAAACTTATAATATCATATGAGATACAGACCCACCAATTAATACAAAAAATAAGGTGTCCTCCGTGCGTCCTCCGCTAGAAACTAAATTTTGAGTAAATGTCCTTCAATTCTCTAAAAATTTTTGGTCACCCTAATCGCACGGCTATCGTAATTACGACTCATTATTATTATCAATAGTAGAAAAAATGGTTAAGTGTTTCCTAATATTATTTTTAATTATTTCCATTTATATGTAATTATATTGTGTATTATTAATATAGTTGTAATTAATTTGTATTTATTAGTGTTTTATTAAAAGTAAAGTCTTTGTTATAACTTATAATTACAAACATGAATTCCGTTATAATTTATTAAAAACATATAAATTTAGCAATAAGAATTTTGATATGCTTAATTTAAAAAACATTGTTAACAATAATTGAAATGATATTTAAATAAATATTAAAATAAAATTATAATATAGTTTTTTTTAATTTAAACTTTATATTTAAATAAATAATAATACGGATTCAATGAAAATGCAAACAATCGTTGATTTTATACAATAAATTGTTTGAAATAAAAATAACAAAATGTTTTACACAAATCTTTGCTAAAGTTTGCACTGAATTTGTTTTATTCATTACAAGTGAAGTGAAAACTGATATTACATTTGGCATCACATTAATAATTATCTGATTATTTATACAAAACTATTATCTAATTAATATTTAATTTATTAATTATAATTTTTAATAATTACAAATATAAATAAAATATTAAAGCATAAACCGGAGTAAAACTGCACACAAAAAATGATACAAAAATACTTTATTTACCTAAAAAACTAGAAAACAATTTCTTAAAGTTAAAGCCATAGCGTCGTTGTAATGCCATAACTGAGTAATCAATCAATAGATCTTTCATATTAAAAATTAATTTGTCCATGATCATTTTATAGATAAGCTTATTAAATATTGATTGTTTATCGAGTGTTTTTAACAATGAAATAATTTCCTTCAGGTAAACAACACTCACTGTCTTATGACTGATTGACCACTCGTTATGTTTGGCCAACACTTCCCGACACTCAGGCCTTTGTCTCCATTTGGGGGGCGTTTCCCAAATATCTCCACACGTTATCATTGCCTGTAATGTCTGTATTAGACATTTCATTGAAGCCTTTAATTCTGGTTTTATTGCTTCAAATGATTGCGAGCTTTAAATCAATAAATAAAATATAATTATAAAAATTTTTGAAAATTAAATTTTTTTCAATACTTACGACTGAAGATCAATACCAAAGAGTTGGCCACCGATTACAGCGAGACTATAAATATCTGCCTTTTGGTTATATCGGCCGCTATTTACTTCGGGTGCGATGTATTGACGGGTACCGCAAACTGTATGGTTGTATCGGCTGGAAGTGTTGCCATCGATTTCATGATCGGTGGCCAAACCAAAGTCACACAGTTTTACGAAACGATTGGACGTAAAGTTGGGATCAATTAATATATTGTCGGGTTTGAGATCCCGATGAATGACACGAGGGTTGCGTTCGTGAATATATTGAACACTCTCTAAGAGTTGTTTAAATATTTCACATGAAATGAAATAATCAATAACTTTCATGCCTTCCGATTGTCTCTCAAAGACAATGGCTTTCTCTTCGAGAAGTGATTTAAGACTTTGCGAACAGAACTCCATTTGAATGAAGAGATGATTGCATTCAAACCAATGCTTGTAATACTTGACCACAAAATCTGAGTCCAGTTTTG